TATATATATATATATATATATATATATATATATAGATATATATATTAATTATAAAACATAATATATTTATACGGGTCGGTTCCAATAAGACTCGTTTTCCGATCACCCATTCGGTTCTAGAAACTTAAACCCATTACCCGATCCAAAATAAACTATTTAACTTATCCAAACACCCCGCCCCCCCCGATCACCCATTCGTTTTGGCTTGTATATATTAGATTGTGGTGCACTAGAAACTGTATTTTTACTCAAAACGAGTACAAACTAGAGCTTATTCCACGAAATCTAGATGATTATGTTGAATTTGACACCATAAGGGTGGAGGTGTAAGAAAAAAACATAGTTGAGAGGTAGATGTAATTATCCAAACAAAAGGGGTTTTTTTGTAAATTGACCATACCCCAGGAGGGTATTTGTAATTTACCCTATTTGTAATTGCTATGTGTAATGTTACAATTATGATTGGATGTTTATGTGGTTAAATTTTTTAGAACTCAATTTCTAACATTTTCTCTACTGGAATTGGATGTTTATGTGGTTAAATTTTTTAGAACTCAATTTCTAACATTTTCTTTACATCCAGTAGGTGAATTATCAAAATACAACGCTCATTTCATAACCCCATTAAATAGCTCCATTAGAGTTGAAAGTATCTTGTTACTTCTCTCTCTCTCTCTCTCTCTCTCTCTCTTCTTTATGTTTGCTCTCGGTCCGTAAAAAAAATGAAATTTGGTCAAGAGACAAAATAGAAAGTTCAACAAAAAAATATTGGGTGAAACTACCATACGGTTATTTCTATGATACCAACGGCTTACGTCCAAAAATGAAAGATAAGTAAAGATATAAATGGAATAATTCAAGAAATTAGATTTTGAGCAAAACATCAATTGTCTCAACGAAACCATAACCACAAACCTGAATTTTATAGATATTGTATGGATCATCCCTAAACAAAAGTCCGCTAACAGATCAGAGTTATGCTTTAAATGAAAATCATGTCAATGAATTCGATCCAATCGGCGACCCCATCAGCGATGCACACAATGCCTAATTGCAAATAATGGTAATACAAACATACAAGTATGTATTCCGGATATCTATAAGAATAGCAAAGCGCGGTACATAATTTTCTGATCGCAAAAAAAAAATAGTAAAAATCCTGTAGACATACAAAAGCCAGATTGCTAACAATAAGATTGATTATCCAAAAGCCCAAAAAAAAAAGGCAAAAATATACAAATAGAGCCTTCTACAACTCGTTGAAATGAATGGCACCGAGTTTCCAAACTAAGTAAGTAGTAGCAAACATGGCAGAGCTAATAAAGACAAAAGAAAAGACAACGACAATGACATCCATACCAGCAGATATGTTGATAGTCCAACCTTTTTCCGGCTTTCCTCTTTTGTTGTCGTCCAACATATTTGTAGGTGCTTCCGGAAGACTCGGGCGTCTTTTACCCTTGTCGGTTTCTCTTAGGGACTCCATTAGTTTGCTACCAAGCTCTGCTTTCGATGGCTTTGGATCCGTGTATCGGTTCAGTACCCTCGCTGCCCTAAGTCTCTCTCTTGCGGTTAACGGTCCTCTTTTCGGGGTCGAGTTTGATGTGTCCGATAATGCCCCTTCATTAGTCTCCTCAGGCGCAACTTCATCACTACTAGCTGGGATTAATAAAGCATTTCCGTCATCGGTTTCAATAGATTTAGAGTCATTATCAGTAGTCTCTATGGCAACATTATTATCAGCAGCAGCTAAAACGTAGAATCTTGATCTTTTCCGAATTGGTGCGGATTGTATTAATCCAAGTGGGGCCCACAGAGAAGTCGGAGTAGGGACCTTGACTAATAATATCCTATTATTAGCTCTCCTCACCTGCTGGTAGTTTACCTGCAACATCCACGCATATATATTATCCTCAAAACAAAGAAAATCAAAGTGTCGTTCAGATGAGTTTCGTTATATTCGAGTTAATGTTTATTCAGAATTCACTTGATAATAGTTAGTTACTAACCCTGGAATTGCGTGCGTCGTTTATGCCAAGTATATTATGAGTTCCACGAAGATTCAGTATTTCAGGCCAAGTATTTTCAGGCCAAGTATTACAGATGGTCTAAATCGAAAGGAATTGGTAGAAGAAATCTACAAGAATGCTCTATTATTCAATTCAGCCTAACTAAAACTAAAAGAAAATAAAAGTTTATGAAGACATTATTTAGCAATAGCAAGAGATTCTTCGGATACATGTCGTCAGTTGCTAACATTAAATATAAAATGAAACAGTGGATTGGTTAAAGGATTTAAAGAGAACTTGAATAAAGAATAAAGAATAATCTTCATATCTTGTAATTCCAAATAGTTACAACGATTTATGTGTACCCTTTTAGTATTATCATACATGTAATCTACCACCCTCATTAAAGCAATCGAATTACATCAAGTGCAAAAATAAATTTCCCTTGGAATTACTTACTAACTTTGTTGTCCTGGAGTTTTATGAACTCATTAAATCAAAGAGGACAACACCGCAAAACCGAACCATGATGAAAATATACCTAAAATTACGAGGTTGCTAATCCTGCAGAGACTCGTGTACTAAACCTAAAACTAACAACAAATACGATGGGCTACTCCGAGAGAGATTTTTCACTGCTCAAAGAAATATATTCTGAATGACTCAACCCGACCCGTATCATATTGAAAATAAAAATTGTAAAGCATAATACGGAGCATTCAAGAATGTTTAGGAGCCAGTCCACTCGCAAAATTAAAATTCGAGCTTTCTTTCAGGAATTTCTAATATCATATAAAGTTCAGTACCATATATATATATATATCACGGATTCAAGGTCATCCGAAAACACACCACAGAGTTCAGATACCATACACACCCATATTTAATAAAAAATGAAATACTTATTCAAGTGCGAATAAAGAAATCATTCAATTTTAAGTAAAGAATAAAGAACAGCAACTTGAGTGGAGCAAGATAAATAAATAAAAAATCTAAAAAATTATATGCATCTAAAAGGGAACGAACAACTAAGATAAATCCTTAAGAAAATAAACAGAAAATTAAAATTAAGATACGGAGTGGAGGAAGAGTAGAGAAAAGAGACATACGGTGGGATTGAAGGAGATGACTGAATTCAAAGAAACAGCCATTAATGAGTTTGAAGATTGTGTTTTAAGGGCCAACCATCAAAATTCTTCTTTCCAAGAGAGAGAGAGAGAGTAATGGAACGGAAGTGAGAGAAAGTGTAAAAGAGGAGCTTGTGGAATTTGCGAATCGGAGGAAAAGGCTAACTCGCAAATGGATGGTGCAGACCACTGCCAAATGTGATTTCCTAAGATATTCATTTTATATCGTGTTTCCAAATGTTTACAATTTCTTTACAGATAAACCATATACCATAAATAAATAATAAATCAATAAAAGGGATATAGGTGCGGTGATAAAATTTATTATAACTACATGATAAACTCAACTAAAGATTTGTTTAACATCTTTTATAAAATTTCATTCAAAAAATGCGCCTTCACTCACAAATTCAAAATACGCTTAGTAAATTTTAAATTGCATTTATCGTTTTATTTATTATGCATTTAATATTTTATATCTTTATTTAACATCTTTTTTTAATTTTTTTTACAGAATATCGGGTTGTCTCTTTTTTTTTTCATTCTTCATTTTATCATTTTATACACTGTTATAAAAACTTTTTTTTTCTACATAATAGTGAAAATTACAAAAAAAAAAGACTGTTATTTTATTTTATTTTATTTTATTTCAATTTATATATTTTTCAATTTGTCTGTAGTACACTATGGTATACTACGGTGTACTTATATTATGGTATACTATGGTGTATTACGGTATACTATGATTTACTACCAAACCCAAGCCGCCAACAAGTCTCAGCAATCGCCAACCCTAGCAGCCAACGCTCACAGCCGCGACGATCGTAGTCACCTACCAGCTTTGGAAAAATCTAGATTATCATTTGAACCCAAACCAAGCAAAATCTCTTAAAAGATAAGAAAATCAGATGCAATTAATTCAAATATGCTTTCAATAACATCCCAACCATAACCACAGCCCCCCTGTGGTGGCCGCCTCCATCACGACTCTCTCCACCGCTTCCTCCATTGGCGCCGCCACAGGCATCCTTCGTGCTACTACTGGAGAAAAAGAGAGAGATAGAGAGATGAAAGAAATAAAGATAGAGAGAAAACAAGAGAGAGAGAAGAAAAATAAATCTGAATTGACAGATATGAATGTACAGGTTATAGGATTTAGGGTATAAGGGAAAGATAAAGATAAAAAAAATTAGGGAAGTTGCTCATATATTATTTCAAACCAAGGATTTAATTAAAAATTGCATTGGACTTGTCATTTAGTTTAAATTATGTTTCGTTTGAGGGGCTCATAGCATATTATTTTTTATTTTTTATTTTTTATTTTTGGCCAAAAAAGATTTTATTATTCCATTCTTTGAACAAATGGGTCCTCGTTAAAACCTTGTAGGCCTACACAAGAAAAAAGAGTACCCCTACAATGGAATAAAAAATCGGAAGAACCACTTGATGGTCTATGGCAACATTTACAAAAAATACAATATAACCTAATCTATCCATTAATATGTACCGCTTAATCGAAGCACGGAGTTCACTACCAAATCTGATCTTCATACGATGTCCATGAGACAATTTGGCTAAATAATCTGCCGAGTCCGTAGTTGCCTTCCCTGAGCGTATGAACCACTCGTCGATTCGCCGAAAGGTGCCGCCGTATACCCCGAATAACATAGTTTAAATCTCAAGCAACAACAAATCTTTGGTAAATCATATCCACCACAAGCTTGGCATTTGATATAATAATGATGTGATCGAAACCCATTTCCGTAGACATCTGCAAACCATCGACAATTGCTGAAGCTTCAGCCCAAATATGAGAACTAGGACCGTATAAATGAGAGAAACCATGAATGAAATGACCATCATGGGTTCGAAAGAGACCACCCCCCTGTTGAGCAGTTGGAAAAAAACATTGTCGAAATTATCTGTAAGCTTGAAAAGATATGCCCTTCAGCATTCTTTGATTACAAGGAATATTTTACCTATTCACTCAGCATATGAAGCTAAGCTTGGTGGGCTGATCCAATATCCTTGGATGTATACGTTTGAGAGGTAAAATTTGTTTATGTCTTTAAAAAAACCTAATTTGTCCTAACAAGGTATTCACAAGTTAATGAATTATCAATTTTACGTTTCTTCATTGATTAAAAAAAAATGTGAAATTTGGGGTCGAGTTTAAGGATCTATTGTAGAGGCATATAGTATTGAGAAAGTTTCTACATTTTGCTCTTTATACTTTGAGCCTAATGTAGAGACAAAGTTGAATCAAGTTCTACGTAAGGATGACGGTGGTGAGGTAGATCCTAGGGGGCGTCTTTCCATTTTCACAAGCCCGGGAAGAGCATTTTGGCCTCAACAACCTATTCAGTTGTTCGAAGAAAATGAATTACGCGCAGCTCATAGATATATATTGTTAAATTATGATGAACTCAACCCATTTGTCAAATAAGTGCTCAATTAAAAATATTTAAAAAAAAACATAATATTTAAATTATCATCTCATCATATTCTTCAAGCATTTACTGTATATTTGATGATGAGACAAAATTAAATATTGACTGATAACGCACTTAGCTTATTACGTGATAAGAACTTTCCAAGGTGGTTGAAAATTTATGTAAGCTATAAAATTCAATTATTTATTTGCATACGATTTAATATATGTGATATGTTTGTTAACATTTATGTAATTTTAACAGGTAATGAATCAACAAAATAATGTTGATGAACACATTAAATTCATATAGCTCAAGCGCCGAGTTGTTGGGTCAAATATCACAAAGGTTACTTTGTGAATGGGTATAAGTTTCACACAATGGACTATGGCCGTCATAAAGCAACAACAAATAGTAGTGTTTGTGTGTTAGGTAGCTCATGGAGTGAGAATGAGACGGATTATTATGGACTCTTATAAGAAGTGATTGTGTTGGAGTACTATGGAACAACAAATAAGGTTGTTTTATTTAATTGTGAGTGGTTTGATATTTCCGATAGAAGGGTTAAGGCCTACCCACGTTTTGGCCTAGTGGAAGTTAATAATACAAGGAAGTTGAACACAAATAATCCATTTATATTGGCAAGTCAATCTCAACAAATGTACTATACACGTTTTCCATCTTGAAATAAAGATAGACGTGAGAAAACACATTTAGTCCTCCATGACGAGTTGGATGACGATACAAATTTAGCACCAGAAAATTTGAAAATTCATTCGGACGTGGAAACTCATATACCAAATGAGGTGCATCACAATGAAGGACCTGCAACTGAAGGAGCATCAAATGATTATTCTGAGCCTCAATCTTCTACGGAACCTATTTGTTCGTCTAGACCACCAAATCAGGGCAGTCATTCACCTAATGATCCTCGCGTACGACCTTGGATAGAACGAGAAGGAAATGGGTGATATTTCTTGACTCTTCTCATTGTACATTCTCATTACTATAATTTGCATTGCTTGTGCATTTGTTTTTGCAAGTTTTTTTGTGTTGGACATCTTATACTATTTCTTGTTACCGTTTGGACTTCAGCTATTGGTTTGATGTCTTTGATGACTTTTGTGAGTGCTTTTATGTCTGTTTTGTTCCTTGACTCTACTGTATCTATTTACCCTGGTTGAGAATTTGCTCACAGAGAAGTTAGGGTAGGGACCTTGACTAATAATATCCTATTATTAGCTCTCCTCGCCTGCTGGTAGTAATTTACATGCAACATGCATGCATGCATTAATCATTAAAGCCAAAAAATAAATCAGATTGTCGCTCGGAATATTTGAGTTAATGTTTATTCAGAATGTTGGGGAATTTCACTGGATAATAGTTAGTTATTACTATTCCGGGAATTGCGTGTGTCGTTTAACGAAGATTCAGTATGTTAGGCCAAGTATCTAGATGGTCTAAATCGAAAGGAATAACTGGAAGAAATCTACAAGAATGCTCAATTATTCAATTGAGACTAACTAAAACTAAGATGTTCTCTTAGATACTGTCATATAAAATAAATGTCTATGAGAACATTATTTAGCAATAGCAAGAGATTCTTCGGATACATGTCGTCGGTTGCTAAAATTAAATAATAAATGAAACAGTAGTAGATTGGTTAAAGGATTTACCCCGACTCGTTGAGAATATATATACAAGAATTTTCTAGGCATTTCACATCTAAAAATATAAAATAATGTTCATATATTATAATTTCAAATAGTTTCAACGGTTTATGTGTGCCTTTTTAGTATTATCATACATGTAATGTAGCACCATAATCGAGCAATCGGATTACATCAAGCGCAAAAATAAATTTCCGTTGGCTAATTTTTCCATCAACATAGCGGAAAGCAGAGGTTGCTAATCCAAAACTAACAACAAATAAGATGTGCTGCTAGTCTGAGAGAATTCAAGAATATGGTCAGGAATTTCTAAAATAATATAAACTACAGTAGCATCACAGATTCAAGGTCAAAGTATAAGACTCAGACAAGGATTCAGATAGAATTTGACAGGTGGTTCCTTTTCTTACTATGCCTCGTTTGGTTGCCAAGATAACATTAGCCAAGATAAGACTAAATAATCTATTGAAACCCAATTATTGTATTGGACCTTGGAAGATCCAACAAAAAACATGCTTAGAAGGCCGGATAAGCCATGATAACGTAATCTTTGCGGATCGACCCGACAAGTTATTGAGGATACCAAACATCAAAACAAAGTCCAACTGTTTAGTTAATCATGCATAATCTTTCCAACCAAACGAGGTCCTAAGGTAAAAGGGCAACAAAAAAGTTATTGAGTGAATAGTTGGAAACCAAGTACAAATAAAGAAAGAGATACATATGTCAATTTTTTCCTAAAGAATAAAGAACGGACAAAAATCACTTAGTTAGCAGACATCAAATCAGGGAGAACGAGTTCACAACAAACAACAACATATTCAACCATACCAAATTGAATATGCATCTTAAAAAAATCAACGAGTAACACGGATAATACTAAAGAAAATACACACAAAACACGGATTAACCGAGAAGAGAAAATTAAGATACCGAGTGGAGGCTATAGAAAAGACATACAGTGGGATTGAATGTGATGACAAAATTCAACGGAACAACCATTAATGAATTGGGAGATTGTATTTGATTCAGTAAAATCAGTATCTTGGCCCGTTAAAGGATGGCCCAATAAGGGCCCAACAAGAA